TGTGATCAATAAAATTATACATTGTATAAAGAATAATAATTGAACTAATTTGGCTTGCGTGAATCAATAGATGTTAAAAAATAAAAATAAAAAACAGATAGAAATCTGAAATTTAAAAGACTATGCCAATATTTTTACCAAACATTTGCTGAGTCAGTTACCGCTATCTACATTTACAAAAAGAGATTAGAAACGTATAGTTGCATGCAGTTGCATATTTCTTAACTTTGCTGGTAAGCGACATTGCTGTTTGGTGCATATCTGTACTAAAGGCACAAACTGAGTTAGCATTGTGCTTCACGTGTATGGATTAAATTACTATAATAATTATAGTAATTAAAATAGTAGTTCATTAAATTAATTAAATTATATTTTTAATTAATTTTAAACAAAATTAATTATTTATCAAGTTTTTATATCTTTTACTCAAAAAATGTTAATAAAATGTTAAATTTAATTTAAAATAAAGATTTATTATTATTTTTCTTTTTATTATCATAATAATATAATATGTTATTGTGCAAGTGTTTATGTTATGCAATCTTAAGTATTTAGGACAGTTTAAAAATGTTTAATTTAATTATGTTACAAATATTTAATATTAATTAAATATAGTTCCAAAATAAATATACAAATAGTAATATCTATCATTGCACGTACATAGATTGCATACACTCATATACTTTTATATATACTCATCAGAACAGAATTTTTATACAAATTGGTTATGTGAATTACCTTCATATGCTTTGATATAAAATGCAGTTTAAAGATAAATTAGTACTCACCACTCAGCACAGGATGCGCAGCAGTAAAGTTATAACGTTGATCTGTAAAATACAAATATATTAAAATTAATAAATCTTTTATCCATTTTCAAAGCAGATATTTATTATAAATAAATAAATGAGTTCTCCACGCTTGTTGCGGACATAAATATTGCGATTAATATATCACTCAAATAACAAGCAATAAATAAATTTTTCACCTCCGTCGTAGTTGCTCCGTCGTAGGTCAATGTGTCTCGGGTCTCCGTCTCCTCTTCCTCCTCCTCTTCTCTTGTTTCTTTATGGCTACTCCTCTATCATTCTGATGTTTCTAGTATACGATAAAGTTTATTCATAATCATACGGTTAAAAACGCACGACACTTTGAACGACACTCCCGCCATTAATACTGTCGACACGAAATTTGTTACATCGTGACTATCGCGCGAAACATTATACGACACTTTCGACACTTTGTTTTATTATATCACAATGACATTGCGCAACACTCCCGATATTAATTTCAACGCAAATTTTACATTACGATGAAAAAATAATGAGGAAAAGCATACTCACACGGAGCTACGATCCGTTCAGCTCGACTTATGGCGTCCAAAGGAAGTAATAGAAGATGAAGGAAATCAAAAATCGCGCGGCTAACTTCACCTTTTATACGTTACCAACCATGCTACACCAATTGCTCCTAACAACACTTTTATACATTACTTCCTATAAAAAATATGATACTCATGCAAAACAGTTTTCACACAATTTATTAAAGATATAATTTATCAAGATAATGTTTAAATCATAGATAAAAATCATAGATAAAGTAGTTCCACTCTACAGAAAAATATATAGCATATATAATAAAATTATAAGCTTTTGTTAAAACAATATAGAAATTAAAAAATAATAGTGCAAAAATAATTAAATAGTATATTTTTCTATAAAAAAATAATTATTGTTAACTAGAAATAAGTTAAAATGTGTGTATATATATGCTTGCTTTATATAAAAGTGATTAATTCATTATTCTTGTAGACAGTTATATGGACATGATGGAAATTACAACATATTATACTTTGTTACAAATGTAAAAGTAATATAATTTAATAAGTTTCTTTGTGTACATTATTCAATAGTTTTATCTTAAACACATCATTTTACGATATATTTACATTGTTTCCTTTTCCTTTTCATTATCCTAGTATAAGCTTCACAATTACTGTTAAGATGTTAAAAAATATCAAGGGCACTGAAAATTAATATTACAGATAAAGATTAGAAGATGAAGTAATTATAATCTTAAATATTGTATCATCAGTTTTTCATATTACCCCTCATCACAGTTCGTATTGATTTAATAAGATTCAATATTTGTGATTTAGCTGTTGGAGGTTCCCCAAATCCTTGTACATTTTGCCATGACGCCCAACCAACTGTAAAAAATGTTCCATATTAGTTTTAATGTGAGAATGTAACATAAATTTAGACAATATTTTATGTTTTGAAATTAAACCTTCATACATTCATAACCTATAAAAATAGTAATTTAAAATTTCTATAATTCGTGCAGATTAATTAAAATAAATAAAAGTAATGTATGATTATATTACCTTTAGCGAGAAATCTTTCCTCGTTCAAAACACAAACTGCATTTAAGCATAATAAAGTTGCTTCAAAAAGCGTCCACAGTGTAAACGCCATGTTGCTGGAATTATTATGCTAGTGGCTAGTGGCTAGTGTTACCAACCATTTCCTACGGAAAATGTGTTCTTTAATTGTCACATTTTGTATTTATTCTCTTTTTAAAAAATACTGAACATATATATAAAACATATATAAACATATATAATTTGATATTTATAAATAAATGTATTAACATAACTTTATATAACAGAAGCATGAAAAAGATTGCAATAT